TAGGAAAATAAAGACTCCCCGGTTGTGATCCACGTGACAACAGAAACCACTGGTTGCAGATTCTAGGTGATATGGCTTAAAATCGATGTGAGTGGTACAGATATATATGTAAACATTATCCTCATCTTAATTGTCAAACCGAATTTCAGTATTCTCTCATCATTCCCTTCCCTTTTTGATGGATTTCTCTTTTATTTCTTGATCTTTCATCTCATTGTATTCTCGCTTGATGCATAGGCATGTTGTGTGGCAACTTCGACCGTTGAGCTGTAATGCTACATCCTATGTAGATTATGTCTCTCCGTTTATAATGTCACACTGAAGGACAGTCTAGTGTAAACAATTGCTTAGCGAATTACAACGATACAAATCAATCAGAAACTCAGTTGATGACAAGCAGCTGAGGGAAATAAGGATGGACAAGAAAAACTTAAAAACGACAACATAAAACAATAAAGTTTGTAGATAACAACTGCAAACATGGCAATATGACAACGACCAGAATTATTGAGTATAATTTAGTTGTATGTAAAAAGATTTGATAAGCACTTTGCTTTTTTTATCAGAGGCCAACACTTCTGAAGCCCATATTGATTAAAGACTTTATAGCACTGCAAGCATCGAAGCAGATATGGCGTGCGCTAAAGTAATAACTTCAGACCATTTGGATGTTCTGTCGACGAAGAATGAATGAATAGGATCATTCACTGAATTAGTGACGTCTACGTGTAAACGTGTTTACAGCCTTTCTGGACGAAACTATATCTGCAGAAGCATTCGTGGAGGTAGTTTGGCTGCATTTTCGGACTGATTTCGTTATATTTCAGTCTACATTAGATAAACAAAGATAAACACCGAATGATTCATAGATGACAGATGGAACTGGCATTTGTCCACAAGTAGCTGAAATCTATAACCTTTTATATGATGTGAGATATTGTTAATTCTTTCATGTAATTATTGCAGATCGATTGACGCTGATCATGTCCTCAAGGTATCCCCCCCCCCTCCAGTGACACTCAATACCAATGCATTTATAATCTTTTCATACATAGCAGGAGCGGTTTTGACTATAAACAGTGATCGGTTGAATTGGTAGAGTATTCATTGTTAGTTCTCTGGAGTATGGAATGACCTCAAATCGAAGGTACGTAACTGTTAAATTCAACCATGTAAAGTACCTAGCGCTACTGAGTATGGTAAAAAATATCTTCAGGAAATGGTAGTGATTCTCTAGAGAAGTGCTTAAGCGTGTTGAGTAATTTTTATATGTGTACGGCACCGTTCAGTTATTAATCACCACAATGATACAGGTGAAAGAACAGTCGCACCTTCAAAGAGTTTGATTTCTTTGATCGACAACCAGTAATGTTGCATAGAGCATTGAGCGTTTGGGTAAAATTATAGGGACACTGCGAGGCGTTAAACGTAAGGTTGCATGAGCACGCACACAACAAACAAGACAACCTCGAAACATTGTAGGGAACTCATATACAATTTTATGGAAAACATTGCTGTTGGCGAACCAAATTCAAGGAAAATCCCAATTTATAAACTAAGTGTAGACCGAACGGGTCGAGTAAGCTATGGAGCAGGGGTCGTATTATCTTTAAATGCGAGAGAACGAGTGAGTTGCATCCCAAAAGTGCACGTTTGACCGTTATAAGCATTTAATTCCACCTAGGATGAATACTTAACTGATGACCTGCTGCTAGATTTCCAAGATTCTTTACATATGATGGTGCATTTAACTCCAAACGCGCAAGGTATCCGTTAATCAAACAATGAAACAAAAATTCTTTGGGACGTACTAACAACTTTCAAAGTTGGAAAAAAAATGGACTAATTTGGTTAATATTTTGAAAGAAAGGCCTGTTTTCTGAAACTTATTTTGTAACTTTTGCTTAGGTAAAATGCACCTTTATGGTTCATTTAGCTAGTGTTACCACCGTTTTTCTGAAACAGGTGGAATTGGTTATAGGGAAAGTCATCACAATGACGACGTGAAGAAAGTGTTTACTTGTTAGGTTTTCGACGTATCTGTTCGGTAGGATGCTTTACCGTTAAGACAGCATCGACTGATGAGAATGGGTGATCTGAATGTTATTTTTCCGACTGGTCAGCGGTTGAAATTCAGCAGTAATAGTTTTTTTACACGCTAACAGGCCTTGTGCAAATTTCAGCATCCTTCAAGGACTGAAGGCTACAGACAAAAACAAAATATTTTAACTGCTCATCATGAGAACGGATTTTGAAGTATTAGTACTAGCTGTTTACAATGTCTAGTTAGGGTACAAAAATCGTTACCATCACGTTTTGTAAGCTTTACACATTGGTAACGCAAATTAAACGAGGAGTATTGTATTTCGAACATTTGAGACAATGCTTCCATCGTTTATTTAAGCACCATCCCTTCTATTTGCTGTAGCAGGGTTACACTTAACATATTTGAATATTTAATATGAACCAGTTTATAAAGTAGTAATCGCTACTTTCCTGAATCCTATTGGAAAAATTCCATTCTGAAGGTATCAGATTTTGCTAGCAATCTCTTCAGAAAAAGAGCTGCATTATGCTGCAAGCATACATTAGTAGTCAGTATGCTTCTCGATAAATAACTATTGTTGCTGGAACATCCGCTTCAAATCACAGTCATCAGTAGAAAGGTCCATCAATACACGTGATTTGATTTAAATTAAGGAGCGCCAAACTGTTTGGTATACTACTCTAGGAAAGATACACCAGAAAGAATTTCAGAACTTATTCTGACTCCGAATCCAGCCACTGACAAATAAGAACACGATAAAGCAGGAAGAGACTGAATATACTGATTGCTGCTTCGATCAAGTAAATACATATATAGCATTCGGCCAAGTTACCTAGATCATTCATTCATATAGCGTTTTCATGAAACCGGATTTGGAATTTTTCGGTAGTTTAAATATACCAAAATTGTGTGATAGAAAATATTGTGGGTTTTTTGCCATTTTCGAATCGAAATATGTTGATACTTCCCAAGAGCTTGGAATCAAAATTTTCCAATTAGCTTAGTAGATTACCGAAAGAATATGGAAACTAACCCAACAAAATTGTGCACATTCGTGCAGTAGGTAGTGATCATCTATTGCGTGAGGGCTGACGATTTTACCTGGCTGCCCAAACCTTTGTGGTTGGAACTCAGTTCCAACCCGTGACCCATCGCTTGGTAGTCAAGTACCTAAACCAATGAGCTACCACTCTACTGATAGATCATCGGTATCGGAGGAATATTTCACTTTTCCTCATGCGTGTAGTGCATACCTAGTCACCGTCAAACACGATATGTAATCTCAGCTGAAGTACGTTTAGGGAGAGAAAAAGTAATCAGACTAAAACTTTGCACCCGTTCATCGAGTATGACTTTCGGTATTGATCGTGTAAGGAAATGAGAACTAGCAGATTGGGTTCTGTATGACAGCCAAAAACTCTAGGTGGTGATGTGGCTCAGAACCGATTTCAATGGTGCAGGCACATTCACCACTTACCTTTATCCTAATCGCCGTATTGCATTTAGTTTCTCTCTCTCACTTACTTCCTATGAATTTTGTTTACATTTTCTTATTTCACTGTATTTTACCTTGTTGCTTTGTATCTTGATTTTCTCATGTGAAGCGTATCAGCATGAAACGTCATGCACTAGAGCTAGATTTCATGTCCGTTCTGACTGCACATGGACTCACAGTTTATCTAGTAACAAACTGGTAAAATAGCTTGGTGTTGCATAAATATCCGATTGATAACATGAAGCAATTTTCAAAGGTGAGCGAGAAAAATATATGCTACACTTCATTATTAAACATTTAAAATTCCCTAGTGGTTTATACTAACTACACATTCAATTTTCTATTCTATGCATAATTAGATGACAATATCGCTCAAGTTTACATCAGACTTACAGCTAGTGCAGTTGATTTCCAGAATAATCCTCGAAGTGTTTTATATAATCTCCCGGCAAAATAACCAGCAAAAAGACCCATAAAGACGTAGGTAAATATGGCGGCATTCATCAATGCACCACGCGAAGCAGGTGATAATGTGCCAAGCATTGCAAAAACTGAAAAGAAAAATTTCATAACAGTTTGTAGTGATAACTTTACCAGTAAAATTAAACAGCAAGTGTCCCGAAAGTAAAAAGCAAACAACAAATGTGAAAGCAGATGAATACCAGGGTTTGAGAGGTTACCAATTAATAAAGTTTTCAATAAAGATATCATATAAGTAATAGCCACAAACATCTAAATAGGATAGCTACAGGTACACACGATTTAAAATATGCACGCCAAATGGCTCGGATATACTTCAGTCCTTTTGAAAATAATTACGCATTGCGAGTTGGACTGACTCAATAAATAACGTGGTAAATGTATGATTTCTATGTGATTCCACTGAAGAAAATTTTGACGTGCGTATCCCCAAATCATTATTTAGAAGAAATGCTTTACATATTGAGTTCAAATTCAATAACCGGCTGTGCAGACAGAACGACAGGGTGCAACGGGGTCATTACTCGGCCTCTGCTAGCAGACTGCTTCAAGACAAACTAGGAAAATAATACGCACTACTCGAGAATTAATAATCCCTACCTATATAGCAGATATATGGATGATATATTCATCATATATAATGAAAATACTGGTATTAGGGCGATAGTCAACAAGTTATCATCAATATATCAACGTCAAATCCCCATGTGAAGAAAATTCAGGATTTCATTTGCCGAATGAGTTATTGACAAGGAGACTGCATAATTCCCTTCAGAGATCAATCTACAAGAAGTCGATTTAGAATAGACAATACGCGAATTTGCATATTTGGACACCACTCATCAGAAAAATAAATGTGATTCATTCTTTGTCACTAAAAGTCAGAAGAAACTACATAAATTACACAGTCGACGTTGAGTTCGTAACACCTAGAAAAATACTTAAACAAAATGGATATCTATCCAGACTTACTGACTAAAACTTCAGATCCAAACAGAATACGGAGCAAGTAATTACAGTTCTCAAGAAGACTTTATTTACAGAAGTTGGTTTCAAAGCTAATAACCGCACCAAAGATCCTGAGGAAACGGCTGTCCAAATCAGTTACAAAAATATTTTTCGCCTATGAAACTACCGATGAGCTTATCCAGTCTGTAAATAATTCTGAGATATGTCAAGTATAGCTGCCAGTTCGCACTACTTTTATACGCGTCTAAAAGATCACATCCTCCTGGAAATCTACCAAAATACACGACCCAAAGTATACATTTTCTAAACGCACTTCCCAGCATTATCCTCCATGGTTATACAGTAGAATATGCTAATCGACCACCAGTTCGATTCTTGACCACCCGGTAAACTTTGTCCAAACCTGAGTCCTCTATCAAAGACATCTACCAAGTAAAACCCAAGAGTTTAAAGCTATTCCCCAGTCCCAAATTATCCATGTCAGTGGAGATAATAGTTAACAAATGCGGACCTGATCTGTATGTGCACAAGACTGAAAAACTCACTAAATCAAAGCAGAACCTCTCACACACGAGCATCGGTTCCAGTGGCCAGACTTTACAGAAGTATACAAAGAACAGTCGATAGAAAAAGACTGCTACTCAAGAAGACAAAGAAGTACTAAAGAATAAACAATCCGAAGAAAAACGTTAGTGCGAATATTCAAGCTTTAGAAGACGGTAAGAAAAGAATACATCCCAGCCAATGTGACCGATTTTCAGCCACATCACCAAGAGTTCTCAACTACCGATTCCTATCGTCTGAGACCCAAACCACGCAGTCTACATCTACTAACACGGGTCAGATCAACAGTAAGAGACTTAATGGACTGGTGTCACGTCTTAGTCTGGCCACCCTGAATCCTCTTCCAACCTAATCCAGCTTCCGCTAGCATGGCACGTCGTGGTAGGTGGTGGTTCAGCATGCGCAGCACATGTCCCAATCATCTCAGTTGACTAAGTTTCCTAGTCTTACCAATCGACTTGCCTGATAATCTTCCCCTGACTTCAACATTGCTCACACGATTATTCCACAACACGCAAGTAAGCCTACCTACGATCAAAAACCTGTAATCGCTTCATGTCTTCTACTTTCAATGGATCTGCAATTCACTCACAGGGGAGACGACTGGAACGGTGGGTAGAACACTTCGAGGAACAGTTTAACTGGCCTCTAGCCACCATTAAGTTGCCCGCTATTCAGTCGGATCTTGAATAGAACATTCAGATAGGTCCCCAACACTAGGAGAAGTTGAGAAAGCGGTGGGTAACCTGAAACGAGGAAGGGCAGCAGGACCAAACAGACTACCTGCTGAGGCATACAAGAATGGTGGTAGAGTGCTCCTAGTCAGGTTAACAGAAATACTAACCAGTATATGAGAATTAAATACCATCCCCTCCTACTGGTCTAAGTCACTCATTATCCCAGTCTTAAAGAAAGGCGAGAAGTCCTCTTGTGATAACCACAGAGGAATCAGCCTGACGAACATAGTATCAAAAATTCTAGGTTCTACGATTCTTCAACGCCTGAGTGGAGCTCGAGAACAACAGGCCCGAGAAAACCAGGCAGGCTTTAGACCCAGCCGCGGCTGTATCGACCAAATATTCACACTGCACCAGGTCCTGAGACATAGGCACGCTTACCGACATACACCAATAGTTGTATTTCTCAACCTGAAGGTGGCATTCGACTCCGTTGAAAGAGGAGTCGCATGGTAATGTCTTCCACTGAAAGGCGTGCCGAGTAAGCACATCATCTTATTCAGGGCTCTCTACTCGAACACTTGTGAGCGTGTTAGAGCCTGCGGCAAGTTGTCCACGGAGCTATACTCATCGAGTGGTGTCCGTCAAGGATGCCCACAGTCTCAATTCTTATTCAATTTTATCATACATATTCTCATGGAGGTCTCCCTCTCGTCACCTGACTACACAGAGATTGACCTAATCACAGGAGAACTTTCGTTAGACCTAGAATATCCAGATGACATAGTCTTGTTAGGTGAAGACGCTGACAAGATGCAGAGTCTTCTGGGCACTTTGAGTGGGAATTTGAGAATGTTTGAGATGCGTTCCTCATCACCCAAATGCAAATTGTTGCTTCAGGATTGGTCTTCAACGGTGCCCCACCGCGGCTAACAAGAGAGTGTAGCGGTTATGTGTCGACCACTTCACTTACCTGGGAAGTAGGATCAGCCCTGGTGGCTGGCTCAGTGGACGATGAAATCTCCGTACGAATACAAAAAGGCTTGGCTGACTTATGCCAACTTACGCCACCTGTGGTGCCGCTGTGATATCCGATTGTGTATTAAGGGTGGCGTGTACTGCACGGCAGTCCGCTCTGCTCTGCTGTACGGCTATGAAACATGGCCACTGAAGGTGGAAGACATGAGAAGGCTTCAGGTGTTTGATCACCGTTGCCTTCGTAGTGTAGGCCACCGTATTCCATGGTGTCACCACGTGAGTAACGCAGAAGTCAGGCTCAGGTGTAGAGGTTTAGGGAGAAGAAGTAAATCAGTAGACGAGGTTATGAACCTTCATCGACTGAGATGGTTGGGACACGTGTTTCGTATGCCTAGTCGCCGATTGCCTCGTCACACAATGTTGGTCGAAGTAGGTTCAGGCTGGAAAAAGGCTCGAGGTGGCCAGACTAAAACATGGCACCAATGTATGAAGTCTCTGACTGTTGGTTTGAGCCATGTAGGGCGATGTAGACTGGGTGGTTGGGGTCCGCGGGACAAGAGGAACCAGTGGTTGGCGACTCTGGGCGACATGGCTTAGAACGGATGTCAGTGGCGCAGAAGTATACATACATAATCCTTATCTTAACGATGCTTTACCGAATCTCACCATTTTGTCATTCCTCTTTCCTTTCTTCTCGTATTTTATATTTCTTTTGACTGCATTCTCTGATCTTCATTCTTCACCTCACTACCTTTCTACTTGATGTACTGTACTGAGCTGTGGCAACTCGGACTGTTACGCAGTAATACCTGGTCCTATGTGGATATTGATTGTGGCCACAGCTCACAGGGAACTAACGGGCTCTGCTGGTGAAAGCCTTTCTCCCTCTTTGTCCTACCACACCAGCAAGGTGTGCTGAATTGCGGTTAGACAAAAAGCAGTTACTATTATGGCGTAAACTGCTATGATGTGGATTAAGGGTTGAGAGAGAAGTCGTACTGCTGGCTAGACAGCAGTGTGATGGGAGTAAGGTGTTTTCTTTTGACGGCGAGAAGTGGCGCGCTGATGCTCCATCCCTTATGGGAAAGGACAGTTAGAAAAGACAGGCTCCAAAAATAGCAAACTACCATCACTGCGTAGCATCCCGATGCCTGCAACATTGTTTCATAGTCGAATACGAATACAATAAACCGAAATCTTAAGCTCGGAAAAAAGTCGTGTGACTGGTCTCAAAAGATGTCCATCGGGTTCTGCGGTCAAAAATTAATCATTCTTTTTCAGGTTCCTCAAGAAGACCTGGTTTTCCACGGTGTGCACAGTCAGGAAGCGTCAACCGCTCTCATAGCTCCATCTCCACTCAAGTCTCCTCAAATTATTGTCCACACTCCAAATCCTTACCATTTAATCTTTTTTGACGTCTTCCAGTCAATTATCAATTATCTTCAATTTCTCCCAGCTCCACAGCCATTATTTGAGGTTCGAGTTCACGGGACAGTATACCTGGTCTCTTCAAACTGCGCTCACAACTACATATCGTAGTATGCAATTTCGCCTATCTTCCGTCAAACCAGGCAAGCTCTGCTAGCCAAAACTCTAAAATCTCAGACCATGTATGTGTGCTGTGCTTATGAAAAGTGCATAGATCTAACTAGGGTTATTCACCTAACCTCACTCGTTCAAAATGGTGGACCTCCGAAATTCGCTTTTTCAGTCTTTGGAGATTCTAAAGTCAGCTCACACGGCCTTGCAGGTATAAATGGATTATTAAATTCATAGGGCAGAAAGTACACTGTTTTGCTGAATAGTACAGGGAGATCCAAAAAAACGATGAGATCTACAGTTTCATCCTTGTAACCTCTCAAGTGAAAGATAGGTTTAACCTAAAACGGTCTAGCTTCGTTTACATGTAGTTGTCATAGTATGTGGTTTCAATGCACAACGGTGTATCAATCAGATTTTCCCCTTCAACAGGCTTTGGAAGGATGGCTAATTCAGATAGACAGGCGTTTGGGCGACACTTTTAGAATCTCAGCTGAACGAAAACATAACCATTCAATTCGAACATAAAGAAAAACATTGTCTAAAGTGGCATCAATCGTCCACAATTCTCAGGTGGATACAGATAGAAAGTATTGTTATCAGTTAATGCAGGAGACAGTTGGTGGAAGCTTGTTGTACCTTCTGGAGTATGTGCTTGGAAAATGAACACACTTTCGTTCGACAAAGGGTATGTCTACGCCTAAATGGAAGCAGAAACATTACAACAATAAGACTATTCCGGACTGCCAATCCATCCAAATCAACATAGGACTAGGTATTACTGCGTAACAGTCCGAGTTGCCACAGCTCAGTACAGTACATCAAGTAAAAAGGCAGTGAGGCGCAAGATGGAGAAAAGAAAATTCAGTCAAAGCAAATATAAAGTGCCAAAAGAGAGAAAGAAGAATGAGAAAATGGTGAGATTCGGTATAGCGTCGTTAAGATAAGGATTATGTATGTGTATACATCTGCGCCACTGACATCCGTTCTAAGCCATGTCGCCCAGAGTCGCCAACCACGTAGTGTTTCGTCGTGGAATCACATTGAATAGGCTTGCGATGTAATCATTCATTTACATCTAAGGTCCTTTGGATGGACTCTGTCCAAGCCAACAATTTTATCCATACCAGAGAAGGCAGCCCGAACTTCTTTGCTAGCTATGGATTGTATGACGTGCCACTTGTCAGACGATCTGGATGTTAATAATCTAGTATTTGATACATTTTACTTGCCCCAGAAGTTTTCACGACCATCAAGCAAACGAATTTGACCTTGGTAGGCCTTCCTCCAGTCCCATGAGACAATATCTATAGCGGTTTCGCTTTCAGACCTCTCAAGTCATTGTTGGTCTTCACCATAGTTGAGTTGTTTAAAACCATTCTTGGTAGAGATATCCTCGGCCAGTCGTCGCCGTCCGTTACGTAATTCACTTTTATGTTTAGTAGAAAAGTTAACTTACTAGTTTGGTCAAAATAATCTGTAGTCTCGCTCTAGAGGAGATGAACGGACATCTATCCGATTTCTTTGCATTTGGCACTGTTTCCTTTGATGTGTAATTGGAGCGTTCTGCACCACTTGTCCCCGGCAGCTCGAGATACTTCTTGTTATACTGCTTCTTCAAATTGAAAACGTTTCAGCTTTATCGTGCTTGGCCAGCGATGCCTTGCAACTCGACCTATTGTTTCAAGTGACTAACGGCGTTGAATTTGAGATATCGAAGTTGCTGTTTGATTTCCTGAAGTGTATATTGTACGAAACGTTGTTGTAGTTGTTGACAGAGGTACTTCAGCAAATGTCACATGGGCTTTGCGGTCACACAAATCTTTTTTTCTTTCAGGTACCTTGAGAACAAATAACCTTCCACTGTATAGGCAGCTGGGAAGTGTCAACTGCCCACACATAGGACCCCATCGAACAGGACCTCAGTTTCCCACCTGAAGTTTACAAAGAGAGAAGCAGGAAATCGCTGCTTAAAGTGACAATGGCACTTGGTAGTGTATGGGAATCAGAGATGGTGCCGTTGAATTGGTCTATTTGTCTGATAATCCCGTCTATAAGAAGGCAGAAAAGTCTTCCTGTGACAACCATAGGGGAAATAGTTTGACTAATTTTGTGTTCGAGATTCTAGGGCTAATGGTTATCCGATGCATAAGTGGAGCTCTAGGACAGCAAACTTGAGAATATCAGGCAGTTTTGAGACGTAGGTGAGCGTGAAACGATCGTATTTTTAGCCTCCGACAGGTCCTGGGACATAGGCATTACATACCGGTGGCCGACATTTTTCATAGCCCTTGACTTGAAGGCAACATTGGAATCCGAAGACAGTGAGATATTACGGCAGTGTCTCACTGTGAAGGGAGTACTGAGGAAGTACATAATACTGTCTACTTGAACTTATGCAACAGGTGAGGAGTTTTCATATGGATTGATGGCAACTATTGGTGTTCACCAGTAATGTCAAACAGTCGGCTTTCCTGTTTAACTTCATCATGGCCTATCTCAACCCATCCATCCAAATCAACACAGGACCAGGTATTACTGCGTAACAGTCCGAGTTGCCACAGCTCAGTACAGTACATCAAGTAGAAAGGTAGTGAGGTGAAGAATGAAGATCAGAGAATGCAGTCAAAAAAAATATAAAATACGAGAAGAAAGGAAAGAGGAATGACAAAATGGTGAGATTCGGTAAAGCATCGTTAAGATAAGGATTATGTATGTATACTTCTGCGCCACTGACATCCGTTCTAAGCCATGTCGCCCAGAGTCGCCAACCACTGGTTCCTCTTGTCCCGCGGACCCCAACCACCCAGTCTACATCGCCCTACATGGCTCAAACCAACAGTCAGAGACTTCATACATTGGTGCCATGTTTTAGTCTGGCCACCTCGAGCCTTTTTCCAGCCTGAACCTACTTCGACCAACATTGTGTGACGAGGCAATCGGCGACTAGGCATACGAAACACGTGTCCCAACCATCTCAGTCGATGAAGGTTCATAACCTCGTCTACTGATTTACTTCTTCTCCCTAAACCTCTACACCTGAGCCTGACTTCTGCGTTACTCACGTGGTGACACCATGGAATACGGCGGCCTACACTACGAAGGCAACGGTGATCAAACACCTGAAGCCTTCTCATGTCTTCCACCTTCAGTGGCCATGTTTCATAGCCGTACAGCAGAGCAGAGCGGACTGCCGTGCAGTACACGCCACCCTTAATACACAATCGGATATCACAGCGGCACCACAGGTGGCGTAAGTTGGCATAAGTCAGCCAAGCCTTTTTGTATTCGTACGGAGATTTCATCGTCCACTGAGCCAGCCACCAGGCTGATCCTACTTCCCAGGTAAGTGAAGTGGTCGACACATAACCGCTACACTCTCTTGTTAGCCGCGGTGGGGCACCGTTGAAGACCAATCCTGAAGCAACAATTTGCATTTGGGTGATGAGGAACGCATCTCAAACATTCTCAAATTCCCACTCAAAGTGTCCAGAAGACTCTGCATCTTGTCAGCGTCTTCACCTAACAAGACTATGTCATCTGGATATTCTAGGTCTAACGAAAGTTCTCCTGTGATTAGGTCAATCTCTGTGTAGTCAGGTGACGAGAGGGTGGGCACCTTTGACGGACACCACTCGATGAGTATAGCTCTTTTGACACCTCACTATGGGCTCTAACACGGACTGTCAATATTACTTGCTTTATTTGCTTCGAAGTACCTGAAAACAAAATTGTAGCAGTAACAATTGTACGTGGTTGCGAAACCGAGGAGCGGTTTGCGTGAAGTTTGAGTTTTCGCTTTGATTGACTTAGATCCAGCCATAAAACATATGTCGCCAGTAAACAAAATACTGCAGGGCAAGGAGAAGCGGGTCATTTTTGTGGTCGATAACGTGTAAATAATGCTGTAGTGGAAATAAACACGACAGCCCGTTTAAACAAACTAAGTTATTTCAGAAAGTGGAGACAATATTGTAGTCTTGTCACTGAAAAGACTGCTAATTAAAGCTCTGTACATTTGAGTTGGTTCGAAAAGGTTAGACCTACGTATCATTCTTTTATAATAGCTATCCGGCATATTTCTATTTTTGCGAAAGTTACTGTCGTTATACTTTTCATGTTGACTCCTGTTGTGCTTGAAAACTTGAAGAGGAAGATCATTACGTTGAATGACACTAAGGTTTGATAAGAATAGCTAACAACAGAAGTCAAATTTTCACATGGGATGCTCGCCTGTAGAGAAAGAAAGTTTGAAACAGTATGAGGACAAGCAACCAGCAATAAGTAGTATACGAAAAAAGTATTAAAAAAACTGGTGCAACTTACATATTACGATAAAAACCATGAAGAACAACTGCAATCCGGAACCGAACAGTGCTGTAAATAATCGTGTGTGCCGTGGAGGACGAAACACATCTCCATGAACCAATTTCCATCCTGATTCTTCCAGAATATCTTCCTATTAGGTAGCGGAATTATTCAAATGAACTCAAAGTATTGTGATGAAATATGCTTAACAAACTGTTGCGATAGACTTACCACATCATCATCGCGATTATATTTGGCAATATCTTTTCTCAGAGTTCGAATAAGTATCATGAAAATGACCGCTAAAAAATTCAGAAAATATAAAATTGGACGTTTAGCCATGAAGAACTGTATTCATTATTTTGGTTCCTTGGTGGATAAAACCGGACATAATCGTAAATCGGGTGAAAGTTTATACTCTAAATCAGCATAGCAAATGAAACCGAAAATGGAGAAGACAAAGAACTGAAAATAGCACCTTCGCCAAAGCCGATTAACAATCTCGAAAAACCAGTTTGAATGGAGCAACCTTTAGGTGGCTGGAAGCAATCGGCAGAAAGGCCTGGACTTAGGTTTTGTGCTGTTTGATACTTACCAACAACGTCAAAGGAACTGATATCCTCTGAGAAATCCCAACCCGTATCACCCAGTTTTACAATCAGAGGCCTTACCACTGAACTATTCGGGCAGCAATAGACCTCCTGTAGAACTGGATTACATACAGTGATTGGTTACGTAGAGTAACCCATTTTGTTATCTGGTCTCAAGTAAGGATGGAATTCTACCGATCATTATGCAACGTCCTTTCTGGAGAAATTCAAAAAGCGAAACGTTTGGTCCAGAGTTTCCTATCGACTGTCTCCGATCACCTTGCATCAATCAAAGTGCACAGTGAGGCTGCATTCCCTAGCTTGGAAAACATATCATCATCATCATTATCAACATAGGACCAGGTATTACTGCGTAACAGTCCGAGTTGCCACAGCTCAGTACAGTACATCAAGTAGAAAGGTAGTGAGGTGAAGAATGAAGATCAGAGAATGCAGTCAAAAGAAATATAAAATACGAGAAGAAAGGAAAGAGGAATGACAAAATGGTGAGATTCGGTAAAGCATCGTTAAGATAAGGATTATGTATGTATACTTCTGCGCCACTGACATCCGTTCTAAGCCATGTCGCCCAGAGTCGCCAACCACTGGTTCCTCTTGTCCCGCGGACCCCAACCACCCAGTCTACATCGCCCTACATGGCTCAAACCAACAGTCAGAGACTTCATACATTGGTGCCATGTTTTAGTCTGGCCACCTCGAGCCTTTTTCCAGCCTGAACCTACTTCGACCAACATTGTGTGACGAGGCAATCGGCGACTAGGCATACGAAACACGTGTCCCAACCATCTCAGTCGATGAAGGTTCATAACCTCGTCTACTGATTTACTTCTTCTCCCTAAACCTCTACACCTGAGCCTGACTTCTGCGTTACTCACGTGGTGACACCATGGAATACGGTGGCCTACACTACGAAGGCAACGGTGATCAAACACCTGAAGCCTTTTTGTATCCTCCACTTTCAATGGAAAACATATTGAAAAAGGTGACCCACAGAATTGGGTCAGTACTTAGGACAAGACAATCTGGAATTGATTACTCTTCAGTGATCAGCCAATGCAACTGGATAACCATTTCATAAAATAACTATCAAGCCAATCCTTATGTGAAATGCATTATCTGCAACAAGGAGATGGAATTCAGTAGTCACATAGTATGATGAAATGGCGACACCGTTTGTGAGCCAGACTTGTGATAAGCCTGACCAACAAATGTATTTTTTATTTTCATTAAACGCATGGAACTCAATGTCATCATTCCGTTAGTACTATGATTCATTTATTCACTGTGAACATATCTACGAAATTAATAACTGATTTTCACGGATTGAAGAAAACCGAATAATTTCTATTCGGAGTAAAAGAACAGTCCTTTTTGATTAAACCTCGCATCAGAGTGAACTTCAAGCTGTCAATTTAAAATCTCCGGTAATGGGTGTCACGCTTCCTGACTGGAAAACGGCTGAGAGCTTTCGATATGCTGCTTGCCTAAAAGTGGCCTTCGGAGAATCACAGAAAGGGACAGTCATTTGTAATCTGTGTTAGTGCTACCACTGAGTTCAGTTTGAACGGGGTGAAATTTTATTGTTTATTTGAATACAATATTGGTACTCAGAAATACAGTCTATCCAAATAATGTAATGTATTACTACGATAATTTTGAACGATCCGACTACACATTTACTTGTAGAGTTAGTTTATATATAAAACAAAAAATACGAGGGTCAATAAATTATGATAATAGTAAATTTGAGATCAGAAGACTAACAAGAGTAACATATTTAAACCTAAATTTTGGTCATAAAATGGATAAGTCTTATGACGTTAAGTGCGATATGAGGACAAATTGTTTTTATACTCATAAAACTGGCTTCGATTTGCGTATAGCCATCGTTTCTACAAATCTCAATATGAAACGCTGACTGCTTATACATAAAATAATTGAAACATGTAGTTGAGGTTAAGAGAAGGTTCAGATAAACGGCTTGAAAAACAACTATAATTTAAAACTATGATAGGTACAGATGAGTAACAGTCTTCTTTAATCATTGTCAAATACACTTTAGAAAGGAGTCACAGAATTAATATTCAAGTCATGATCAGTGGTGGATTGCGTAAGTAAGGACGTCAACAATAGGTAATAGTTGGTCACGATTCAGTCTCGTTCAAGATTGGCTTGAGATGGGTGAGTCTCCAACGCACTATAACAGTAGATGGTTTCAATGCAGTGCTACGACGGGCTAAAGGTTAATGACAATGTGGTGGTCGGAACTGCGTATCACAATCAAACGAGTTTCCTCGAGGTCCTACCATACCAGAAAGCAGCTACTGTTATAAAGGAAATTACTATGCTATGTTGCGGGTTTGAGACTGAAATCATAAGGCTTACTAGATGGGGTGCGACAGAAGTAAGGTATTTAACTTGAAGGACCTGTAGTAACATGTTGATGATACTTTTCTTGTGAGAACGGAGGTTAGGAAACGTTGGCCCCAAGAATAACAGACTTCATGGGCCCTGCGATCACACAAATTTTCCCTCTTACAGACACCCTGAGGAAACAACCTTCATGCTATGGAAAACCGCCCGCACACTACCAGTAGTACAGAAAATTCAGTCAATCATAACCTACCTTCTTCGCCTATCTCCTCCTTTGCCTTCACCTCTGGGTACCAATATTAAGCCCCTTAGAACTTTCTCAACCCCCCACTCAGCCACCATTGCGAACAATCTAAGTCATCTAAGCCTCATCCCTAGTCTCCTAAAACTCCGTCGTTGGTTTCACATTATATCCTTCGACGACGTCCAAGACATATATACAAGGCCAGAGTGTGTTCATTAAATTTACTACACCTGAACAAAGCAGTAAATCCGGAAACTTAATGACTGGCTCTTTTGAAATCGCTGGTATAGGCATAGCACTAGGCTCTCCAGCAGAAAGTGCACTTTTCGACTGGATACCAGTCAAGAGCCGCCTGTATGCCATTCAACTGAATAGATCTGTACAAACTAGGAAGGATCGTGAGACTAGCCAATATCTATTCGTAGTCTACGTCTACGCACACACCTACTGCAGTTCGGATGATGCAAAAGATTGTTTCTATCAAAACCAGTCAGTTTCGCGACATAAAGCAAAACGTTCAGATATAGTCATAATAGAGGGTGACTTCAATGATCAAGCAGTAAATCTGAGCCAATCAGGAAGGTATCCTGGCGGTGTCTACAGAACCCAATGCCAAAAAACCGACGACAGTGACAGTCTCCGACAATTTTGTTTTGACAATCACTTGTTTTTGGATAGTAGTAACTTAAAGCATAAGGAAAGAAACTATCTCCGATGGCCCCCACTGACATCGAACCAACGATGGACACAGATACATCACACTGCGAAAAGCAATCGTTGAAGAGAATCAATGTAGGATTGTCGCTCTTTCTGGAGGACCTGTTTGGACTCCGATCACGCATCAGTAGGGGAACATGTGTCTGCGCCTTACTAGCCCCAAGAAACAGATGGCCGGTCTGTGCTCGATTCGAATATGGGAACATCCAGTAAGTATGTAGTGAAAAGATAGGTAAACATTCACCTGAACCTGAAAGCAATGCTCATCCTGAAAAAACGTGGTGTGATATTTAGTCTGCCGTAAAAACAGTGGTAACCTCACCTGGTTAACTAGTTTACTAGTTACTAGCCGGTCCTAAGCTCGGGTAAAGAGGGAAGGTTTGGCATAGGGCTAGCAACCCTACCCCATAAAACAAATCTAACCGCTACAGAAACTTCAAAGCACAAACAAAATACAAAACATAAAAACAAACTTATTCCTCGCTGCAATCGGAGAGACGAAATGACGCCGGTTGGTGAAAGACTTCGGGAAGCCAATTGGCCAATGTGTCTTACCCCCTTCGATGAAAGCGAAAGTAAACATGGGGACATGGAATGTTCGCACCACGTTTGAATCTACCAAGGCTGCCCAGATTGCAAACGAGGTGAGAAGGTATAGTATTGAAGTGCTAGGAATCTGCGAAAGCAGGTGGAATGGGAGTGGACTCTCCAAACTGTCAACTGGAGAGTCAATAATCTACTCCGATATTGTCACCCTAACGACAATCACAAAAACAGCACACTAAGTTTCGGAGTGGCTATCGTGATGTCCCCAAGAGCATCGAAGGCTCTCATCCAGTCCAAACCGATCTCCTCCAGGATCATAACAGCAAGGTTCAACTTAAAAAAAAGGAAAGAAAGTCAAAATCACTCAATGCTACGCACTTATAAATAATGCAGATCAAGAGAAGTAGGAATTCCACAGACAACTCGAATCAACAATGGACATGTACCCCCGATGGCGACATCAAAATTCTAATGGGTGGGCGACATGAATGCCAAACTGGGAGCGGACAACACAGGGAGAGAACTAACCATGGATCGAGAAGCGCTCGGTGAAACGAACGAAAATAGAGAACTGTTTACAGAATTCTGTGCATTCAACGATTTGGTGATTAGAAAAAGGCAGTCTGCTCAAGAACAAGGATATCCACAAAGCGACATGGATAAAAATTCACCAGAAGGATACACTAAAAATCAGATCGACTTTATCTCAAGAAAGTGGAGATGCAGCCTCCTGGGCACAAGGTCAAGAAGAGGAGCACATGTAGGCTCAGACCACTATCTAGTGCAAGGAACCTTCCAAATCAAGTTAAAAGCCTTCAAGGAAGTTAGTGATAGACCACAGTCTCAGTTGAACAACCAGAAACTGAAGGACGAAACTACAAAGTAAATCTTCACGGCAGCCACTGAGACAAAATGGGAGATATTAATCAACATCCCTGAAGAAACCTAAGTGGGAGAACACTGAGACTCTTTGAAAGCTATGTGGAAAGAAACCTGAATAACCATATTAGGAAGGAAGAAGAAAAAAGAAGATAAGGAATGGATCTCGACGGACACATGAAAAAAAAAAAAGGAGAGGAGGATAGTGAAGCAGAAGATAAACCAGTGCAAGGATGCACAACTAAAAGAGGAACTGATTACAAGGGACAAAAATATTGGATAAAGAAGTGAAGTGTGCGCGTAAAGACAAAAGACACTTATACGACACATTGCAGCTTAAGCAGAACAGGCTGCTGGTAGGAGATACGTGACCACATTGTATCAAATAACCACGCTACTATCAGGAAAGAGATCAACACATAAAACCAATAAAAGAGGATGAGGGAAATGTAATTACCAAACAAGAGAAACAAAGGAAACGATGGACTGACAAGTTTAAAAAGCTCTTGAATCGACCACCACCTGCACTTCGTCAAGAAATACCACCTGCAGTCCAATCAACAACGGTATAATACAAGCATTAACACCAATATGTAACTCACTAGTTAGAAACAGCACAATAACCACTGAGTTTATGATTGAAAACCAATGAAGTTGACCACTTGCTGTCTTTAGATAGATATCCCAGCGAGAAGCCCATTTGATATCTGATGGCTCCCAAATGACTTCACTAGTGAACTGAATAATTGTTTCCGTTCCATCAATTTTCTTCCAGTCAGATACCGGTATATCTGAATCAACTTCCTTGCAAACACCTTTCTCTGAGTGAAGATGTTTCTCAGAAACACTTCTGGGGTCAGAAAATGCTTTCTTACCTCATAGGTTCTATTTCAAAACCAACAAAACGATAAGAGCCACTAAAGTAATATAAGATATTAATAATCAACATACCTATCTGTCTCGTGATATTGCAATATAAACTTCAAGTGATTGTTAATATAAGCCACTCCATCCACCACAGATCCCAGCCTATAGCCATGTTCGTAGCGGAACGTCTTTCCACCATCAGAAGAAATTTTAGTCCCACAAGGCAAGTTGTCGATAGAACTTCATTAAAAAGTCAGTTTTTAAAAATGAATTACAGGTGCACCGAGTACTGGTTTAAAATGAAAAGTCTCAGACTTATGGCATCATTACTGCTTAGTTTAACAGGGGGACAGACTTGGGAACAGCCTCTATTTTCAGCCATCTTTATTGAAAATGGTGTATTAACAACGCGATCCCCACGAAGTATTTCACCTAAATTGAACTCATTTAGCTAATAGCAAGCAAACCAATGTTTTCCGGTGGATACTCAATAAGGTGTTCCGGACGACAAAATGGGAGCTTATAGTATTCATAAGGTAACTGAGTCACGTAGCTAGTCAATTTCACAGCCTTAAAGAAGACATATAGTAAACAAAATGAATCGTACCTTGACTTCGATTAGCTCGCCTTTAGAGAACTCATTTGGTGTGACTCCAGGAACACTTACTGATACAGATGCCGAAAATAAGGACATAAAATATAGACAAGTGACCACCAACATCCCGACCTTGAAACTGTCAAATAAACGCCAGTCAGATGCAATTTGACCGGGACAAAATGACGTAGTCTAAACGTTTCCCAAGAATTCCTTATATGTAATCTCTAGACCTCAGATCACTTTCATGATTCAATATAAGAGGGGAAGCCAAGCTTGTGTTAATCCTTTAGATGTGTTTATTACCAACGGTGCTCGTTGAAACAGTTCAACGTCCAATATCAACAGGTGTCAATAGTACGAATAAAGAAAGTTTGAATTTCTTCTTCTGGCTGCTGGATCTTGAGTCCCAGTTCTTCTTGTTCTGTCATACTCCCTCGGTGGTACATGGAGTCTTTGTGGCTCACCTCCTTATTGCATAGGAGGTAAGAACTGTCTATTTCTACGTTTTCCTTCCCATATCGTAGGTTATTCTCTGGGGGAGCCACGGAACAGTTGGTTGAACCAACCGACTTCCTGCAGTTTCTGTTTTCGCAGGCATCTATAGGCAGGTGTAAAACATTACCTGATAAGTACTGTGAGTAATACAGAGAGTGGGGGATTAAAAAGATGACTGAAAACTATCTGTGGAAAGGGAAGTGTTGTTGCAAACAATATGGGGAAGAGCTGGGTCTTACCACAAGTGCAAGGATCGGGAAAAACAAGGGCGGATCATCATACCTTCAGTTGCCAGGGGCAAATGTTCGTGACAAGCTGTTTACGCTCATGTAGCCATCAAGCAGTTGTATGAGTAAGTCAAGCGATGTAGCTATGGCTACTTCTCCCTGCAGGGCGTCAAATAGGGTCCACACTCTATGCGAGAAGTAAGTTCCCACTCTTGTCTTTGCCCTGCGATGTGGTGTGCGAGTGCAGTTCCAGTGAGACTACGGGTTTCGCACCGACGCTGTCGTCGTTTTGTGATGGTTCACTTGGTGGATGAGCATGCAGGCCGTTATTAAGTCACCTCTTTTCCTTCAGTGGCTCAAAGTGAACAAGTTTCGTCGTCCAACTTTGTCACCCTCCTGTTTACTTTCTCCAGAGTATTTCCTTCTCCGTGTAGAAGGGGTGATAGCCGTGTTGAAAGCCCCTAGACGTGATCTAACATGGGTTTCAAGTACCATGCAGAATAATTCGTGCGTTAGCACTTCAAGCTGCCCCCTTAGAAAGCGCGTAATGTCGTTCGCCTTTGCCGTCATTCCTCCATAGTTCGCGCTAGTATCCAGCGTGTCATGGAAGTTCAGCAATAGGTCCTGTTCAGTGGACACCCCGGTAACTATGAACTTGTTGCGCGTGTAGCTGGTTAATAAGGTGCCTCTGCAGCTGACCACTTTCTGTTCAGACACCCAGTTGAGTCTATCATGCCTTATGAGTTTTTGTGGTGGCCTCCAAGAAAGTTGACCACCGACGTGCAGCGGAAATTGAGCGTCAGTCTAAAGGCCGTTTTTCGACCCACGAAATGTTAGCATCACGTGTCTCTTTCTTCCAACACAAGACAGTGGGAACAGATCTCCATTTGAATAGTCTTCATCGGGGAAGTTAGATAGGTGGACTCGAATTCAGAGTTGTAGTATGAGGACGGGGTTGTGAGTCTTACTAACCTCTCCACAGCGGGTCTCCATGCTTGTCCAATTCCCTTTTGAACAACTTAATCGACGACGCAGGAACTATTTCTTCCAGGATTTGTTTTCAAAAGTTGATCATTCACGTGACAGCGGGGTTCCACGCAGATGGCGTTCACCCTTACCTTCCCTCTGAAGTGTGGAGGTTAAAAGGAGGGGAACAATGAAGTTAGATCAGATCCAAAGTTATTTCTCAAAATAACTTCATGTTGAAAGCAGGTAGGTATGTCACTGATATAAGTCAGAGATGGTAGTGGTACAAAGACACTGCCTAGAATGATGCCAATGTGAATGAGTTCAGGAGGGGAAGTGATGGAGTTTACGGTATGGGATTCACTGAGATCGACTAATCGAAAAAGACTGAAACCGCTCTAGTAGTGGGTTGCAGATACCAAAGGCACGAAGCCCGTTTTAAAAGGAGGGAGTGAGGGACCCTGCCAAAAGTTTTGGCGATGACAAAGTATGGGACCAACTCGGTCAAGCCGCAGTCTCAATCTAAGGTTCTCCTGCTGGAGAGCTCTCAGGGATACAAGAAGTAATTCAGCCAGATTTCGGGAAGCCACAGTAGTGCTGGATTATGAATCACCCGCTGAAGGAATAGTTTAAAATTTGGTCACTAACGTTGCTATCTACTGTGGAGTGATCGCAATGATGCGAATAAGACGGTAATTGGCCAAGACGTTTCCGGAACCTGACCTCTATCGATGGAATATGGAAGTGGCTTCCAGGATTCAAGGTGGCTGGGAGCAAGGACAGATGGGGAGAATACTTTGGGAAGCTACGCATGGGTGAGACAGGGGAATATAATCACCACAGGAATTATGTAGTGGTTTTAAGTTAACTGTCGTCTGGTAAATATGAGGAACAGTGAAATTTATGAAGCATAAGGACCCAGGAGTGACGTGACGCATACTGAATAACGGTGTAGTTGGGAAGGTATGGATGCGAGGGAAATACTGATTGAATAGCTTGCAAAATTTGGAAATATCATTCACGATGCATTGACTATTCATAATACGAGGGATTTCGGGGTGATTTGAGGATATGGGTCGTTTCTTAGCTAATCAGCTGAGTGCCGGAACAGTGTTGCAGAAGCTTTCTCATCATCAGCTAGCTTTTGCTCAGAAAATGCCTTCTGATTGATATCGGTGGCTGTTGTTTTGTGAAGTGCGGACAAGTCATGACGAATTACAATGGTCTTGGTGAGTTTTCGCAATTGACACCTGGACTTCGACGTTACGTGTGGTCTCTTTCACGGGAAAAGTTGCATTAAGACAGATGTTTACATTTCCATAAAATGTATTCATCAGTAATTGGAAGCCATTGTAAGAAAGGTAGCGTTCCCATTCTTCGGACGGCAAGGAAAAACTAAAGTGTTTCCACTTAGCATGATCGCAGTCCCTAAATGCCATGGGCTTGGTGAGGTGTATACTGTTTCAAGGGGGCAGAAGTCCGTAGAATCTGGCCATTGGGAGGTTGCTGTCACTTCTTCCGAACATACGGGTAACATGAACATCGAAATTTTTGACTTTATTACCGATATGGGGTTCAATATATTGTTGCCACGTGTTGTAGATATCGCGTGTTGAACTTAACCCGTAACGTCTGGGCCCCAAAAAAATTCATCATAGCCTCGGGGCTAAACAGTGGCATACTAAAGCCTCCGCAGATAACTTTGAGGGTTGAAGGTGATTGTAAAAGCCTAGCATATCCTGGGGTCAAACCTTTGGTGAACGTACTTCACTGGTATGGAGACTTGAACCCACAAGCGGTCCTTGACAGCATCCAAGGGAGGCGAATCGGTTAGAAGGGCTGTGACATGTAGTTGAACATAGATAAGACAACAACTACTATTTTGCTTTCCCTACCGTTTCGCAGCAGAAGATAGCCGTCTATCTGAAGGTTGGAGCCTTAGTCACTTGGGGAGCACCAAGCTTCGATATTAAGGATAAGAGTGGGCCAACAGATGAAGGATGGCTCTCGAGAGGAGGTCAGTTTATTTCTAGTGCAGCAAGCTTTGACTAGAATAGGGTTAAAAGGAGCTGAGTCAATTATAACACTTGTTCCTTAGTATGAAGTCACACACCATTTTTACGGGAGTGAATAGGTTTCAATGTAAGCTACATGCTTCTTCGTGACAGACAACACCACCCCCCAGCTGTTTTGTCATTGGAGAATATAAGTGCTGCATGTTTACATAGCACAAAATGACTAGGTGAAGAAGTCGAAATATCATCTCCACATCAACAAAACACCAGCGTTTGTAGTTGAATATCACATGTACCGTCCGCAGAAAGTGAATTTCGAAACCAGTGCCTAAATTTTGCACCTAATTCATTTTGCTCAAACACAATGGTGAAAAATCCATGTCCAGGCCATCTTTATAATGCCTTTCATTGATTCCAGAACTATAGACTTCATATATGTTCTTGCCGGTGCACACCAAAGATTCATAATCTCGCTGAACATCACCAGTATTACTATGAAATCTCCGAGTAGTGTGTGACGAAGATATAGATTTGCAGAGTTCTCAAACCCGAGGCGAGCCAAACTAAATCCTAAGCACTTGGTTGCAGAATAATGAATGTACATTCATACCGTAAGCGACCTCTTTGAAAACCGTTCCAAAGAGAAAAAGGTGTGTTAAACATCTGGTTACAACCTTCAATTTTAACGGCTACTGCCGTTCCTGAACAAAATGAAATACTGTAGTGACACCAAGAGAAACAATAACTTCGGTACTGTTAAGCAAATAGATTGAATGAAGTCAAACAAAATGAGCAGTCGATTCTTTTAGGTACATTGCAGGAATAAAACTCAAAACACACGTATTTTTCAACTGCAGCATTGGAAAGTAGTAGTTTTGTTTGAAAGCATTATGAGGACGTTCAGACCTAATTGTTCTTTATTTTCGCAGCCAGTAACGAACTTGTGGGAATGGGTAAAGGGCACAATAAGCTGATTGAGAAGGTTGTCAGGTGTTTTTGTTTGGTTGAAATAATGCTTATACGGCCTATTTAACCTCGTAAATGTTGCTTTCATGCACCCAAAACTGCTGAGAATGCAAAAAATAGAAATTTCTGTCCTATTAATATGTGGGCGCATGCAATTAGTTGGGATGTGTTTTGTTTTTACTGCAGAATGCCTGGACAGCTTGTGAATCTAAGGTTGAAACGTTCATTTTAGAATAAACCGAATGTTTTTAAATGGCATGAATTCGTCCGAAAGGTTGGTGGACGCTGACCCATTCAACAGAAATGAAGGTAAAAGGAATTTTACTGCCAACTCTGCTGCTCGTGATAAACTAACTTATTCAGATGTCTTATTAATGAATTATTATTATCAAGAGCTGATTTTGCAATGCTGATTAAGTGGATAACT